GATGTTTGCCTGGTCCCGCACTGCCGTCTCTGCTCCTCTGCCAAGCCAGCTGGCCTGCCTGGAGCTCTGGCCTTTATGACTGTTGTGAAGAGAGGCAGGATGTGTTTGCTTTTGGCTATCACATGCTTTTTTAGAGAGGGTGGGAGTTCCTCCCCTTCAATTCCCGGGTTGGTTTCCCCCTGGTGTCTCTGGTTTATGTGACTTGGGGGGCTCCATGGAGCCAGGGTCACAGCTCTCATCCAGGAATTTTGACCTTTTCAGCAGCCACTTTCCTGGGCTGCTTTGTACTTGCCAGCCTGGCCTTGAGATGAGCCAAAAGCTTTCCCAGCACAGGCACATGGGATGGGCACATGCCATACAACATGGAGGTACCTAGCACAGGCCCCTCTGGGAGCACCTCCCGCACCCAGCATCTGGTTCATCTGAACAATGTGCTGCACTTGGATCACAGCCCTCCCCCAGCCCAGAGCACCAGCTCTGTATGGGTCTCAGGCTCTCTCTGTGCTGCTGTTTCCTGATTAAACCATGAGCTTAACTTCAATGGATCAGATGAAAGTGGCTCTGTCTCCCACTGTCTCTCCAACAGTTGTTATCTTGACCCCTTTTCCTTCTTCGCTACTCTGTCTGTCTAAAGCTGAGCCTCTAATTTTAGACTGAGGAAGATAATTGAGGGTCAAAAAAGATTGCTGTATAATTTTAACATTTTTTTGCAGTGGTTGAGGTGGGAGACAAAGTTAGGAGCTCATTGCCCTCAAACCTTTGTATTGCTAGAAAGAAGGACATGGGGGAAGCAGTGAGCTGGTACAGTCTGCTCTCTGCAGAAGTCATTCTGTTTCTTAGCAATTAGCTAGAAAACTAGGAGTGTAAAGGCGTAAACTACTGTATTTCCTTTGCAGATCCTATTGACCGAAGAGTTTGTAGAGAGAATGCTGGAAGATTTAGAAGATCTGAATTCTCCAGAGGAAGTAAGGCTGCGTCATTCCTGTATCTCCCGTGTGCTGTCCTAGAGAGCTCAGCCCGTCCTGCAGCTTGCCTTTGATCCTTCCCTCAGCTCACAGGCTGCAGCGCTGTCCTGTAGACTTGAGGCCTTGCTAAAGCTTCACATCTGCTGTGAACTAAGGCACTGAGAAAAGGGATTGCAAGAAATACAGGGCAGGGATGGGTATTAAGGAAGACTGCATTTCTTTTCTGCCAGTGTCTTTCCCAACGTGTTATCTGAGCACCCCGAGTCAAAGCGGTGCAGCCCCTGAGCCAGGTGACAGGGTTTCCTCCATGCCATGCATAGTGTCCTTGGCAACAGCTTCAGGCACATCACCTGCCCCTCTTTCAGAAAGGCTGAAAGCAGTGGCAGCACATTTACTGATGAATGATCTGTTGGGGGGGCCTCCTTTTTTGGGTTTGGGGAGCAGACGAGGGCTTTTTCACATCTGCTACTTGGCCTTCACCTGCTGCCCCTGCACGGCCTGCAGAGGACCATCACCAGCCTGGAAGCGTTATAGCAGCAGCCAAGGGAGCTTTATAAAGCTTTGCTGTGCGGTGCTAAACTTCCCCTTGCCATGTGATCTCTTCCTGGGGAACATTTAACACCCTGTCTCCCATGCATGCCATATAAATATTCTGCTTGACTTCAAAGAGCAGTGGCAGAAATGACATGTAATATTTTTAATCCCATTTTTTACAGCTCCCTGCAGACTCTAAAGAAACTTTCCTTGGCTTGTAGAGCAGCCCTCCCATCCCTTGCCCTGCTCCCCTCCCCCCAGGAAAATCTCAGGGCTCTAATTGTTTAATCCAGAGTTGATTTAATGCCAGGATGTTCTTCACCGTGTGAGTGAGGGGAGCATGCTGCTGGCTGTGCAGTGACTTTCAGGCTAGCTTTTATCCAGTTAAACCTAATCCAAAGCTCATTTTTGCTAGTGACATGGAAGCCCAGGAGCACTTTGGTTTGAAGGCCCTTTAGTTAAGGCTTTGGACGGCTCGTGTTCCTTTGCTCTCCACTGAGAGGCAGAGGCAATGGGCATGGCAACTCCTGGCACAGCAACTGGGCGCTTGGTTCCGAGTTACTGTGACTTTGCTAAATTAAAAAGTGAAAAACAAACAAATGCAAAAGATGACTTCTCCAAGAGGATTGCTTTGGAATCACTCCTGTTTATAAAAAGGAAAATACTTGAGATGAAATGTGATCTTTCAGCATTGAGATTCCTCCAAGGATTTGTAACTTGCAGGATCCCGGTTTGGGCCAACTGAAGGCGTTTCCTCAGCAGCCCTGGCTGTTGCTGATGATATTCATGGGGTAGAACGAAGCACTGCAAGGAGAGTCTTCCCTTTGCTGCATAAAGAGCCACCTGCGTTAAGTGAAAATAAGTTAAATGATCTGTCTGAGTATCTTTAGCATGTTTTTCATGTACCCTAGACATTGAACTCAGAAGAGAATCCCCTGGGCAGTGTAGGGCCACTAGATTATATGGTGCAAGATATGTGCAGAGCTTGAGTGTAAAAAAAAAAAACAACCATAAGTGGGACTTGGGCTGTTTATGTTTCCTAGAGGAGAAGGAGTGGGATTTTATGGTAGCCACTATCCTGAGCAATCCTCCTGCCGTGCCCCTAGGTCAGGGGTTAAACCCTGAACTGCCAGCCCAGCATACTAAAGGTCAATGGATACCAACTGCAGGTTACCCTCACACACAGCTGCACATGGAGCAAGGTCAGGAGCAAATTCATGTTAGAGCAGCCCTTGCTGTGAAGCAGGTAGCTGGAGGGGATCTCCTCTGGCAGGAGCCTGAGTGTGTGTTAATGTCCTTCAGAAACAGGCACTTACGGGAAGAAAGACAAGTAATTGGATAAAGATGGATGATTTGCAGGTCACTGTCCTCTTGCACCAACTCTCTAATTTACACAGCCCCTGGGAAGCTTATGGTGCTGCTGGCCTTGGTCTGAGGACTATTCTAGGAGAGGACCATTGTATCTGTAACCGTTCTGAATTAGCTGCCTCCAGGTCAGATTGTCACTGGTGGTGTGGGATCCCAGTGAGATTCCTCCCTGGGAGTCCCATTGGGGTGTCCGGGACTGTCACAGTGTCAGGCAGTGCTACACCATGGGTGCAGCAGAGTTATAGTAACAAAATGATCTTGCAAAGTGGCTTTCAGAACTGTCCCCCACATGTTTTAGACCCTCAGGCTGGGCACTGGGATTGCGTGAAATGCTTGTGCAGGACTGGTTGCCATCCAGCTGTGGACGGGGCAGGTTTGTAGCCTAAGAGATTCCATTCCACCTCCCACGCTCCCCACAGAGCTGTTTTTGAGAGATTTGTGTGAATGCC